CTGTAACCTCGCGCATTGCGGCGTCAATGTCAGCTCCAATTCTCGATGCCACAGCACAGAAAACCACTACTGGAGTTAAAGAGCTGTCTATCCCAGGTCTCCAGGTYCTCTCGCTGAACTTCGATCTCTGGATGATTCTGTTCTCGACATCTCGAACGCTATCTTGCTCACATCGCTTCACCAACAAGACTAGGTTACAACAAATGGGCATCAATGTGCTTACAGATGATTTTAAGATTTTTTTCTCTTTAAATTTTACTCAAAAAGTGAATTTTGGTCATTCTCCCGATCCTTGTTTTCAGAAACAAATAAAAGCAAGGGCGATTGCATTAACAAGCGACTTAAATTTCCCGTGTCATACACGCGTTTATAGAATGCGCGGATCAGAGCGTTTCCTGACCTGCAGGAGRCGTTGTCTCCGATGAACTCCATTTCTTTCGCCTGCACCATTTACAAATCAAAACCAAAAGAATAAACGAAAGAACAGTAAAACCGACAAGAAGAGAAATCCACATCTCCCAATTTTCGCCTCCGTTACTAGTCATGGTACCAGTTACAAGAATGTGACTTCTTAGAATTTCTGAATATTACAGACTTCTCCCATAAACCATTGCAGTCTTGTAATTATTTGAACACAACATCAACCTATAGTAATCTTACATGGTTTGTCATAAAGATTGATACATAGCTATGAAATGCCTCAGWCGTTTATTACTTTGAGATGTAAGGGGCTATATAATTAATGTTGTATATCAAGCCCCACGACCCACAGTCAAACTTTTACTTTCTTCTCTTTATGACGGAAGTGTCACCGACAACGACATGAGGTTCTCAATTACAATCGCAGTGTCGTAACGACCCGATTGCGTTACGCTAACAATAGTATAAACGACAAGCAGGGTTAGGGTTAGGGTTAGCAAAAGCCTTGTATATCAAGCCCCACGACCCACAGTCAAACTTTTACTTTCTTCTCTTTATGACGGAAGTGTCACCGACAACGACATGAGGTTCTCAATTACAATCGCAGTGTCGTAACGACCCGATTGCGTTACGCTAACAATAGTATAAACGACAAGCAAAACTAGTGCTAAACACCACCAAAGCAATGATACTAGCAACACTATGTCCAAATCAATCATATTAGCTTGAGCCAAGCGAAATACAATGATATATAAAACTTCACTTTTTGTGGGTGCATTATAAACCTAGATTTCTTGGAATTTCCGGCGGTCTGACGAAGAACAATAKGGTATGCAAATCAGAACAAAAAAAAACAGACGCTTTAAGTAACATTTCTGTGAAAATAGAAAATTTTTTTATTTTAAAAATATTACAGTAGGATCTAGAGTAGGATTTAACAAACAAATGATAATCATTCTATGCCATAACCTAGGCCACATGTAGTAATAAATGTTGATAATAATGATAAATACAACAAAACATCTAGTTTTAACTAACCAATATGATTGCCTATAAACAATAACTGGTCCGTGCGTCATTTCTAATATGCTACTTACTATCAAGACCAACCCACCTTGTACGACTATATATTTATAATGAAATCTGCTCCTTCTATGATAGGATGTTATACTATCTATGAGATAGATGGTTAATTTATGCACTTTTTACAAAGTAATTTAACTAAGATCTATGTACAAAATGTTCTACATACAGATCGTATATTAACGGCGCATGGCCGGGATGCACATCCTGAAACGGTTCGTGTGAAACTTCGTGTCTGTTGGCGTGGGGGTAGCAACATGGACCGCGGAGCAGGGGGGCTGGGGAGCTGGGGGGCTTTAGCCCTCCCAATAATTTTCCTGTCATTTTAAATTTTCTTAAATAAAGAAGCGAAGAGCCTCCTTATGAAATTTAACCATATATATAATAATAATTGTGTAAAAACTGAGCGTGAATGATTAAAATTGAGGCTTTTTTGC